TGTTCCAATGGGAATGACGTCCGATCTATTTCGTCTCGTAAACTTTCCAGCGAAGAAAAATCGTTGGCCTTATCTATAGAAGAGGTATCTTAGGACATCAAAGAAGGAAAATCTTGTCACAACTTACAGTACAACCGACACAGCTGCACAAGTAGTTTATTCAAACCTACAGTCGATGCTCGGTCACCTTGACAAAGACCAGTGAAGAGGCCGCGCAGAACGTCTGGCTAGAAACATATCACTAGTTCATCTTGGTAAAAAAGTGACATTTCCGTCAACATACCCTATTACTATCTACTGCACGTCTAACAAAGTATTCAAGTTTTCCTGGTGAGATTCTCAGTTGTGGTGTCTAAAAAAATAAGAGTTTAAACATAAAGCATTTCGGAGAAAACAATGAAAACCAACGTCCAACAGCTTCAACGCTCGCTCAACTCGACGTTCTTCAAGAAGTACGTAAGCAAGGTCAAGAAAAGCAATTTCTTTTCCATGCGTTCTTTTCACGACGTCGAACACCCCCTTCAGAATTCCCATATTCTCCCTAAAATCCTGTGAATTGCTGCATAATTTTTGACATATAAGAAAAACTAGATAGCTATAGTCGATTCTTCAAGCTCAAAAAGTTCCAAAAGGTAGGGGAACAAGGTGAACTGTTTATCTACTCAAACGGGACACCCTGAAAGATCCGCATGACCAAAAAACCCTATGAAAATGCTTCTGTGGACAGGCCTCGCTGTTATTCTCGCATGGCCCGGATACCTATAGTTTATTTGGAAATCTTGAGGTATTCCTATGAGAGAATGACGGGAATTTCATACCCAAAGAGGGTTAAAAACAGTGTCCGGGAAGTTCTCATCACATGATAGCCTTAGGTCACTCCGCCCACTCAGTAATTTCCATCTCAGCATCGCTACTGTGGGTCTATGTTGAGTGGCCAATATTGGGTTGTCACTAAGGGCACATCTGCATCTAGTTATATAGAGTATTTAACTTATAATTGTGTGTTACCCTCCATAATAAAGAGTGCACAAGCTGTCTACTTTGTTTCAGAACCATAACAGAAAGAACTATTCAAAGATATGAAGCAGCAAGTCAGGAAATCCTAAAGAAGTGGACTGGGAAAGTTTTATCTGTAGCTCTAACAATACTCACTTAAAAGCTTTCCTATTGCCCATAGACATCACCTAGCTGATGTATTGATAAAACACCTTTTTTCTTTTTATTGAAAAGCTCAAAAGCTTATGAAAATAGCTTTCTATTCTGTTATTAGCATGTATAAATAGTGACAGCCGGAAAAAAATCGCGCCACTCGACCGCCCACTCCAAAGAGGGCCGTCGGCTTTTTTCGACAATTTTACGATGATTAAAGTTGCTAGTGTCAGCGCAGCGAGGTCCACACAAGTTAGAAAGAGCGGAGTGGAAATCTGCCCGGGCACTGTCTTCAAGGAACTCACGCTCGGATGGCAGCTGCAGCTAGCTGATACTGTCCAAAAGCACTGTTAGATTCCACGGTCTGCTCAACAACCAACTGCAGAGCTTCGTCCAGTTTTCCGCTGAAAATCTTCTTTTGCAATAAGGACAATCGCAAAAATAAATTTTCCACTCTGAATAATCCGATGGATAAAGAAACTTTCAGAGAAAAGGCCTTCAATTTTTCAAACTTGAACTATCGTTTAGGAAAATCTTTAAGAACTCACCTTTCAATCAACTTTTCCAGTTGTCGCATTCTTACGCAAGCAATAATCCTTAGCAGTTGCTTTGGAGCTAGATTGAATTTCCCCTGTAGATACTGAGAGAACTGTCGCATTTGTTCTATGTCAAAGCTATCGCCTAAACGATCTCCCACCTAAAATGACTGATAAGAACTAAGAACGAAAGTTAATGGAACTGTAATCATTACGGTTATTTTCATCAGTATACGAAGATTTTATACAGCAAGGTAGCAACCACATATGCCGGGAAAAAATGCT